TAATATACAGCTAACTCAGTCCTTTAAAACACAACTAAATCTAGACCATAGAACAACCTACTGCTCCATCTTCTCATTTTTACAATATAAAGACCTACCAGCACCAACAGAGAGCACCTCTCTTGAATCCACTCTTTGACATTTGGGGTGACATCTTTTGACTCCAGAGAGGTGTTCTTTTATCCATGAAACATTGCCTGGTGAATATATAGTTTGCATTCAGGAGAAAGCTAGAAAACCTTTCAAGGACCTGGTGGATCGCCACGTCTTGGTTTTCCCCTCTTTTCTGCTGCAGCTGCTTCTCCTTGCTATGTCTTGATGTTCAGGGTCCACAGAGGCCACTGGAGGGGGCACAGAACAAAAACCAAGATGGTGGCTGCAACCGTGTGATTGAGGTTTGATTGCACAGTTGCAGCAACCATCCTGATTTTTTTAAACCACTCCTTCCCCTTTCCTAAACTTTGCTACAAGATGAGAAGATGACTCAGAGAGCTGCATATGATCCATAGGACCCAAACAACTGCACACTATTCTATAAACCATCAGTTGCCTCAATGGATTTTTTTTTTCCATGCACAATGCAGCACATACTGTTTTTCACAAATGTTTCATGGATTAATTCTGAAACAAACCGGGGGGGGGGGGAGATGAACTCCTGAAATCCCTAAAGGGCAAATATATGGAATGGTAAAAGCAAAACTGCACAAAAGGGAAAGAGTTAAGAAGAAAGAAGAAATCATTAAAACAGTACCATATTCTAAATTTCTAAACGGAAGAACTTCAGGGAATTAGTACCAGCAGGAAATGCCCTGTTCTCATGAGCAAACATGTATTTAAAGCTTAGATCTTTTCCTTGCTTATATTCTGTAGACCCAGATGGTTAATTAAGGAAATGAAGAGCATTAATGATGAGAATAAGCTGATAGAAAGCTTTGTAGCTAAGATTTGGTCACCAGCTTCCTTGTAATGGAAATTCTGCAATGAAAGGTGTAGCTACCTGAAAGACTACCTCATTTTATTTTTCAAAGTATCTTTGAAAAACATGCTCTGAAGGACATGGTAAAGGAAGAACAGAGGAAGATATGATATGGAATGGCAGACGAAGAATTTGGGGATTCTAAGCCTCCAGTGAAGAAACTAGAATGTATTTGGAGTTACTATGATATGTATTTTGTCATGTTCACAACTGTTTATCCTGCCTGTTTCAAGCAGTTTTCTCCAGTTTGTGTCACATTCTCTAAGGCAAATCTTCTCCTAAGTGGGAAATTTGAAGAATTTGTGTACATTGCTTGGGAACATAAAGACACATTGTTTTAGGAGACAAATTATTTAAGAATTTGAGAGTACTTTGGATGGAGACTCAAGCCTTTGGTGAGGAACAAAAAACAGCTGCAGAATGGAGAAGTGTCATGTTTGAAAACAAAGATTTTTCTCTTGAGTCTCCCTGGATCTTATTTGCATCTTCAGATTCACTGAAATCTAAAATCTACATCTCCAAGCTTCTATTTTAAGCAAGGAAAAAAGAACCATTCAGAGACCAAAATCTTTGGTGTTGTGGGCAAAAAGAACATGATTCTCTGGCTTAGAAAACTTTAAGAATCTTGCTTAACATCACACTTTACAATGAGCACCATCTGAACCCTGAAATATTCCCAGAAAGAAAATCTCAGTATTTCTCATTTCCTGCTAATCCTCTCCCATGGAAAGGTGAATCAACCCTCTTTCCCAGGGAGGAATATTGCATAAATGGGGTGTGAAAACCAAACAGTCTGGACTGAATTTGTCCTCTTGGGCATTCCATACCCTCAACAGCTCTATACCCCCTTATTCCTCTTCTTTCTGCTTGTCTATTTCCTGTCTATAACTGGGAATATTCTGATCCTATTGACTGTGGCATCTAAATCTGACTTGCACAAGCCAATGTACTGGTTTCTCTGCAATTTAGCTATCATGGATATTGCAGTATCCACCGTAGTAGTCCCAAAGGTGATGGATGGGTTTGTGGAAGGAGGACGGATCATTTCTTTTGGAGGTTGTCTGACCCAGCTCTTCTTCTACCACTTTCTGAGCTGTTCTGAGTTCTTCCTCTACACTGTCATGGCCTATGACCGCTTCCTTGCCATCTGTAAGCCTCTTCATTACAACACCATAATGAATCACAGAATGTGCTTCTGTCTTTCCTTGGGCACATGGTTGGGTGGATGTCTGCATTCCATCATGGTTACCTCCCTCTCCTATGGCTTGCCTTATGGACCTAAAAATGAGGTGAACTTCATCTTGTGTGAAATTCTTTCCGTGTTGAAATTGGCTTGCTCAGACACTTGGTTCCAGGAGATATTTACCTTGGTTGATATTGGTTTAGTAGCCATCTTCTGTATCTTCTTCATTGTAATGTCGTACATGTATATTGTCTCTGCCATTTTGAAAATCCCCTCAGTTGAAGGACAACACCGGGCATTCTCTACTTGTACTTCCCACCTCATTGTGGTGATGATCTGCTATGTGCCTGCAGCTTTCAATTATTTGAGAACAGGGACTCTGGATCTTCTAAGTGGGGTGATAGCCCTTTTTTATACCACCTGGACTCCATTCCTTAATCCACTCATTTATACATTAAGGAACAAGGAGATGAAAGATGCAATGCTGAGGCTGAGAGATAGGGTTAGGGGACTTTAATGGTATGCAGATCCAACTAGATTAGACATCAGAAGATTCAAGAAAGGATTCCATGTAGGGTTCTCTTTTCTAAAACTATAGTCAAACTACAGAGAGGTTGAGTAAGGATCAAATTGCAAAATGCATGTTATTGTTTTGTACATTGATCATTCTACAATTACTTGATTCCTTTTGACTGTATAACACAACACACGAGGTCAGGAAAGACTTAACAGATGGGTTACACAGCATACAAAGCCTGATTAGGGTACACCTTGGGAGGGGAGTGGTGGTATGTCTATGTACATCTATGGTACAGCATCTTGCAACATATTGTCTCAATATATAGTATATGAACCCTGACAGTGGATTAGTTTGGTAACCAAATTATGGATGTGTAAGGTTTGTAGACCTGAATCTTAAGGAATTCAATACCAAGAATTCAGGAGGAGGCTCTTAAAAAGAAAACAGCTCTTTAATCGGCCAAGTGAAGCAGCTGGGTGGGCAGCAATCCCAAAACACAGGCAGAGAGTGCTGGGATGCTCCACCACACCAACAAGATTTCAAAGGCAGTTTTTATAGCATTGCAAGGACAATCGATTGCAACTAATAAGGCAGTTTCAGGCAGTTTGAACCAGTGTCCCCCCTTTACCCTCAAGACTTTTTCCCTGTGCTCTCCCCCCTCAAGGACTTCTGTGTACATGTCCTTCAGGCAGTTTCTTCCTAGCACAAGCAAAATACAGAAGCGAGATAGTGAGAGCCAGGCTAAGAAAATTCCCCCCCTTTTTCCTCCCTTTCAGATGTTATACAAAGAGAAGCTTTAATTCTTATGATTCTTTTTTTATATATACACTAAGCTGGAGGACCGTGAGACAGTCCCTCTTGAAACCAGATTGATGTCAAGTAACAGCCTGTAATGTTCCAGCAAAGGGCTTCGATGGGACAATGCTCAGCCCAAGGAGGCATACAAGGTAGGGTAAAGATGAGACATCTTTGGTTTCCCCCTTTAGTTGAGGGGCAGATGAGCTGAGTACAACATGATGTGATTTGGTCCTGGAACTGGATTAGAAAAGGACTGAGAATTGACATATCACATGCCAGATTATCTAACAGCACTATGAGTTCTCCTAGAAATGTTATTGGAAAGGGAGATGTGTTAGGGGTATCAACTTTGTGGATCCTCATCTTGTAGATGACTATAACCGTACTAATACTTATACCTATATGGAAATCAATCTTATATCACAAGAGATACCAACAGTCTCCAGTGTATTCTTCTAAGAAAATTACTAGCAAAACTCTTCCCTTCTCACACATGACAATATTAAAAGGTATAAAACAGCCACAGGATTGGTGCCGATAACCTGAGGAATAAAATGTGAATCAATCAAATTGGGGGTTGATCCTTTCTGCCTGCCTGCCTATCATCCATCTATCTATCATCTATCTATCTCTATCATCTATCTATCTATCATCTATGTACCTATCTATTTATTTTATTTACAAGATTTAGAAACTACCTTAATCCAGAAGCGTTTTGTCAGTGGAGAGTAATAAAATAACCGATTTTATTAAAATGTTGGTTATAACATACAAATGGAACAATGGGAAAATATGTTGTTGAAAGGTTTGAAATTTACATTATGTTCTAGTCTTAAAGAGAATTCTTATAAAATGATGTACCATTGGTATTTGTCACCAGAGAAATTGTCTAGAATGTATAAAGGTACTTTGAATTTATGGTGGAAATGTGAACAACATGAAGGGACATTTTATCATGTTTGGTGGACATGTAAGAAAGCCAGAACATTTTGGATACAAATACATACACTATTTCAGAAGATTTTAAAGACTAATGTACAGTTGAAACCGGAGGCTTTTCTTTTGGAACTAATGGGCAGACAGTTGGAAAAAAGTTTTGGAACGTTGTTTTTATATATGACAACTGCAGTGAGATTATTATATGCTCAAAAGTGGAAAGGTTCAGCACTAGCCACAATGGAGGAATGGTTGGTGAAGATGTTGGAACTTGCAGAGATGGCTAAACTGACTTCACTGATTACAGAAATGACAATATCTACATTTATTGTTGACTGGAAACCCCTTTTTGCATGAAACAGAAAAAAATGAACTCATGATTCATGGTTTTAACAATTAAGGGAAAACAACTAGTGTGAGATTGTGAGGAGGAAATCCTCCTCCCCCACCATACTGTCTTCTTCTTTGCTGTTTCCTGCCATACAGTTTTCCTCCCTCAAACAAGGCAAAAGATTAAAATTTACCATTAGAATGGGCTCATCCAAAAGATTAAAATGGGGCAGGGAGAATTAAAATTCCTTGCACTTAGCTAAAACATCTCTTCCACGAAGAGATTAGCATTTCAATCAAGCAGTGCTAGACAGGCAAATACCTCAGCTCAAGAAGATGCCAAATTGCAGGAAACCACAACTCAGCAGGGTGCCTGACTTCAGAGCGCTCCCTCTGTGGCTAAGTGCCATTTCTAACAATTGCTAGAGTGGGCTCTCAACCCTGATTGCTCATTGGAAGGATCGATAATGAAGCTC